CCATTTAAAAAAAATCAATTTTCGTTTTTAGACATGCTTTATAAATGCAAAACGTCAGCAAAGACAAAAGCTCATTTACCATATTGTTGTTGGTTCCAACAATTATATTTATCCAGCTTATAGGTCTTACGCCAGGAAAGCACTTAGTAATTATCTTGTTAAACCGTATCCATATAGGCTTTATCTTTGAACACATAAATAAAATATGGTGTTCGTCTTCTACCAGTTTACAACAATTCTTACAGTTAGCATTTGTGACTAATTTCCATAGTTTCAGTCTGTTATTACATGGTAAAATTCGATGTATTAGCTTAAATAAAAACTGGGCAACTTTTGTGGTATATTTCATATATTTAACTCGGTGATACCATACTTCGTCCCAGTTAATATGATTTATATTACACTCTAACTCCCACTTCCGTTCAGCTAGCGGAATGGTATTAATGTCTGAAATAAATTGCCAGTAATAAAAAGAGTTTTTTTACCTTTTTTGAAGAAAGAATTGCCATTATTTTTATATTTTTGTACCTTATCATTAGTTCCTTTTGAAATTAATATTTTCCTTTTGGTATTGCATTTATAAATGTGATATATTCAATTAGCCCATTTTCTTTTAGTAAAAGTTTGGGATCAATTCATTTCGCGTTAATAATCTATCGTCTATTGAAATATCACCTATCGATTTGTAACCTGAATTTATCCAAACTTTAAAGTACATTGAATTTTTGCCTACAGTTATAAAACTCATTTTTCCATATTGGTTGATTTTTAACATCGTATATATTTTTGGGTTTTATGCTTACTATATTATTAAACTTAACTACTGAATTCAACATTTCTTTATAAAAATCGGACATGATATTAAGGTTAGTATGCTTTATAAAATTAAGTTGAGTCGCATTTACCGTCCACTCCAACGGATACAGATAATAAAGGGGAATGAGTTTCCATTTCCCAGGGTCTGGGCTTAAGTCTTTTAACCCAATTCAAAGTTAAAGAGTTAACCATTGAATGAAAGTCGACCATATTTAATCCTCCCTTTTCTACTCTTCGCATAAAGCATGTTCTTTTTATCTTTTCTTTTTTACCTCCCCATAAAACGTAAATAATATCTTATCTACTTTAGGAAATACTTGTTTTGGAACATTTATTATGCTGGCATTTATATAGAAGTTTGGATATAGCCATAGTTTTAATTATGGTAATCTTTCCGAAGAAAGATAAATGTCTTTTTTCCCCACAATTTTAGGGTATTTTCTAAATTTGTGATTTTGTCATCCCAATTCTTTTTCCTACATATATTTTCATCATATCCTACCTAAATCCCCATAAATTTTACAGGTTCTTTTGTCTAAACAATATTCAGAGGATTCGAAAGATTATCTTTTGATGTGCCTAACCAAATGCCTTTTGATTTATCTTTATTTAACTTTAACCCTGAGACCTTACAAAAAGTTTTAATTTCATTAAAAAAATGAACAAGGCTGTATTCATCTTGTGAAAATGTGACATCGGCCAATTGTGAAAATTTTCACAACTTTTTTTGAATTTTTCTTGCTTTTATTTTGTGGCAATACAAAGCCTTTGTACAAGGGATTGCTCCTAATATTTACGGCCATAACTTCCACGACTAGTGTAAACAATAAAGGCGAAAGTGGGCATCCTTGTCTCACACCACCTTACATATTAAAACGATCTGAGCTCCATCCGTTATTTGTAACTATACATTCTGTGTCTGTGTATATTGTACTTATCCACCTTTGAAAAGATTTACCAAACCCAATTTTTTCAAGCACTTTAATCATCAAATTCCATCAAATTGAGTCAGATGCCTTTGCGAAGTCCAAAAAAAAATCATTGCACCGGGTTTTAAGTGTTTATTTGAGTAAAAAAGAATATCGTTCACTAATCTTACATTTTCACCACCGAATCTCCCAGTAATGTAGCCTTTTTGATCATAATCAATAATCGACCCAATAACTGTTTGTAATCTATCAGAAAGGACGTGGGCCATAATTTTGTAGTCTACATTTAATAATGTAATAGGCCTCCAGTTGGTGAGCTTTTCTCTTTCTCCACTTTTGAATAGTAAATTAATTATTCCCAATCTTTGAGTAGTACTTAACTTGTTATTTCTATAAGAATAGTTTAGAGCGTTACATAAAATATACTTAAGATCTTCCCAAAAATAACAGAACCAGGGCTTTTATTAAGCTTCATTTTATATACAGAATTTGTGCATTCCTCAACCGTGATTTCACCTTCATATTCATATTTTTTTTAAGGTTCGTTTTCTTTAGATATGAATTAATCATTATCTCAGGTATATTTTTATTTTTGTATAGGTTTCCATAAAACTTAACTTGCTATTTTTGGATATTACCAATATTTGACGTGTATTTACCATTTTCTTTTAGTACACATGTGATGTGTTTTCTTTTTGCCTTGCTTTTCTCTAGCCCTAAAATATATATATATATATATATATACTCTGTCTCTTATACACATCTAGATGTGTATAAGAGACAGGTACTTAACTTATTATTTCTATAAGAATAGTTTAGAGCGTTACATAAATTATACTTAAGATCTTCTCAAAAATAACGGTAAAATTGTACCGTAAGTCTATCAGAACCAAGGCTTTTATTAAGGTTCATTATATATAAATAATTTGTGCATTCCTCAACCGTGATTTCACCTTCACATTCTTCTAATTCGTTTTCGGAGAATTTTTTTTAAGGTTCGTTTTCTTTATATATGAATTAATCATTATCTCAGGTATATTTGTATTTTTGTATAGGTTTCCATAAAACTTAACTTGCTTTTTTTGGATATCACCAATATTTGACGTGTGTTTACCAATTTTTTAGTACACATGTGATGTGTTTTCTTTTTGCCTTACTTTTTTCTAGTCCTAAGAAGAATTTATTATTTTTTTTCACCTTTTTCGAACCATTGTATTCTTGAGCGAATTTGTGCGCCTCGAACGTCAGACTCATAGATAGCTTCTAATTCTTTTGTCTTACTTTTTAAAACAGATTCTATATCTTTATCGTAAACAATGTTTTACTTATTTGTAAGTACATTAACTTCTCTAAGTAATTTTTCTTTTTTTTTCTTTTTTCCTATTTTCTTTTTTTGCACAAAATTTACATGTGTATTCTTTTATTTTCACTTTCAGATACTCCCACAGAAGCTCTGGATTTAGATTATAGCCTATTCATTTTTTTTAAACTTCTCAATAATTGTTAATATATTAAAGGAATAAGTGTTGTCTTCTAAAATGCTATTATTTATTTTCCAGATACCTGGACCATTTTCACATTGATCTATAAACAATTTAAGTGAAATCGCCTGGTGATCAGTAAATACGGCCGGCCTTATGTCAGTATGCACTATATCGCCATTTGTATGTAATGTATTTGATACGGTCCAGTAGTCTAATCTCCTATATGTATCTTTCCTTCTCCATGTGAATTGAAACGTTTTTTTTATGACAGTGTCGCCATATATCAATTAGTTTATGTTTATACATACAATTTTTTCAAAGCTAACGGTGAGTTATTATAGTGGGGGATATTGTTTCTTTGATCAACGTTGCGATCTAGAACACAGTTCATATCACCACCCATGACAATGTATTCATCATTTCCGTAACAAAGACTATCAATCTTTTTTCCCATTTTTTTAAAAAGAAAAGTGATCTTTCTTTATAATTATTTGGTGCATATAAATTGATTAAATTTATTGTTTTATATTTATGCTTTAGACTTACAATTATATTCCTACCCTCTCCCTCTACAAATATACAATAGATGTTTTTGGCGCCAAAACTTGTTTTAAACAGTATCGAAACACCTTTACTATTGGTTGATCCGAAGCTGTGATATGCTTCACCTTTCCAAAATTTAGAAAGACAACTTACTGATGCTTTATCAAAGTGTGTTTCTTGTAGCAAAACAATATCTACATTTTGTTCTAACCATTTAAAAATTTTTCGTTTTTTTTATGGTTATCTCTCAAGCCTCTGACATTTAAGGATATTAAATGCAGACTACATTTTTTGGGTTTTCTTTTCATTTTATATTTTGTTTTTGTACTTTTCCAAATATTTATATATTGTCAATTCCAAATTGAATGATCAAAGGTGCTGTAAAAAGCAACTATATTAAATCAAGAACAAGGAAACTAAAACCAACTGGGACAAACATGCAATTCATTCAGGAAAGAAGTCGCCAAACCATCAACCGGGACAAGAGACAATGCCAGCTGTTCACGCTACAACACACTTCATGCCAGTAAGCCCCCTATTGGTGAGCTCACAGTTGTGATGACAAAGTATTAAACAGAACGGAAACGCAAAGATGATGTGTAACGTTTCCGTCGATACAGTACTTCGAAAAGTCCTGTTCAGCAGACTAGTCTATAACGTTTTATAAAATTCATTTGTACTCAATGAAGCTGACAATAATATTCAAATTTCCAATCAACCCATTCAGAAGGTATATGTAAAATTGCCACTTTTGTTATTTTTTACAATGCCATCTTGCCAACATGTTGTTAATAATCAAAAAGGTGTTTTTTCATTGTTAATGTGTTTTGTTTATACGTTGATTCGGATAACAGGAAACTTTATCGATGACGGGATTTTCGCTTTTTGTTTCTCCTCACTAAAATAATGACTGATAATTACTGATTTTGTAATAGTTTGATTTAATTTTATTCAATTTGGCAAGATAAGAGAGCATCAACAGCAAGTAAATCATCAATGACAGGATCGAAAGATACATTTATAAGGCTGAAGTCTTTTTGTTCCTGTACCATAACAGGAATTGAATCCAGAACCCTGGGATTAGAAGAAAATTGTCTTAAAAAACCAAGCTATCATCTCCACTCAAACCTCTCATATTTTTACCACCACGATTGGTGCTTCTTCAAAAGCACGTGACCTGAGTATCCAGCTATGCCATTTGGCAAGGACAGTTGTTTTTACTATGTCTGCTATTATCCACATAGAACATGTTCACTCACACGCATCCACTATTTATAAGTAGCTATTGTGATTGTCAACCAGCAATTCATTCCTACTTTCGTTCCATCAGTGCATTTTGGATTGCAAACATATCACTATGAAATTTGATGATATTTTTACCTACCTAGGGGAATATGGTCGCTACAGTAAACTCTTGTCGCTTTCTGTTTGTTCCCTAATCATTTCTAATGCATTCTTTAATATATGCACAGTGTTTATCAATGGAAGCATGGATCATCACTGTAAGTTGGCAGAAACTGCAAATTGCAGCGATGTGGACGGCGACGAATGTTGGAAAGCAAATCTTAGCATGAGTCTACCACCTGACGACGAGGGGACTTTATTCATAAATGAAACGCAATGCAGAATATATACAAGCAACGAAAATGAGACGGAGTTGACCGATTGTGAACATGGATGGACGTACGACAGATCTCAATATAAATCTACTATTGTGTCAGAGGTAGGAGTTCAAGAATACAGTACTTTTCATATAATTATGCTCAAGCCTACACAAGAAATGTAAATTGAAAACAAAAATAAATGTGCGTACGAAGACCGTATTCAATAACAAGGATAAATTGTAATAATAACATATACGTAGGCGTATATTAATAAGTCAAAATTGCAATAAAGTGAATTAAGACAATCATTTTAATTTGGTTTTACTGCCTTAGATATTCTTTATGTTTAATTACAATCGCATCATCATTCCAGTGTGAGTCAACTGACACTGTCAGTCGATCATCACCTTTACATTTGACCATGACTTGACTGAAGTAAACTTCAATTCCCACCCTTCCTCATGCTAGATAAATTCAATATTTAATTAACAATTACCGACACGTGTATGCCCTTTCAGAACATCCCAATGTGCTTCTTGTTTCTGGTCTTTGTTTTATGTACATGTTGCAAGATTGATTGTACATTCAGAATAAAAAAATACATTACAACCATTTACTAGTGTTATTTTTCATTTTGTATTAGTTATTTAGTTAGTTTCGAATTTACTGTTAAACGGGCTGACACGTGCCAAAAAAAAATTTATCTTACTTATTATCCCCATGCTCGGACTATATTTGTTGAAAATGTCATTTATGTTGTTTATGTCGAAGCATATTGCTTATGCTGCTCAAATAAAAAAGAAAAATATTTATTATGTTTAGATCTGAGACAACTATACAAGGCAACCATACTTGTATAGTTGTCTCAGGTTTAGATCTACATAATGAAAAATGAATGATATTAGAATGATACAATTATTTTATGTTTATGATACAAAAAGATGCGATTTTTTTTTTATATAGATGCATATAGAATAGTCTTGGTATCTATCTTGCCATCAAATTAAATATACAAATGCAGCTAAAACAATCGATGGGACCAGCATCATTTAAATTTAGTTTAAATCTCAACTTTTCAAATCGCATTTTCGGTCATTATTTTACGTAATTGTAACTAACTTCTGCAAGGCAGAGATTTGGTCATGTATGGCTGATTTCCCACCATTCATTGACTGAATTCGGGCTTGACGACCCCGTCTCTCAATTTTCAAACCTGGTTTTCTGTTACTTTTTTCTCCGTTAGTTTTTATTAGCGCCATGAGCATTGAATGTGGACACCGGTGCTAAGAGTCCCTATATTTATTATTAAAACCTGAACTGGAGTATTCTTATTACTATATAACTAAGTACAGCAGCCATTGAACATACGGTAATAAAGAACAAACATTAAACATGGCAAATTATTAATATCACATATCATATCGTATCATATGTACATTGCACGATGATACATACATAAATTTATAGGGATTATAATACAACAAATATTGAGCAATCGTCCGTCATAAAATATTATGTTAATTGCACTAATTTAAAATAGGTGTAAAGTTGACGAGTTCAGCTTAGTAACTGGAATCTAAAAAGCTTGTTGTCAATACAATCGCTACACGCTTTCACCAGCAGTTTTCGGTGATGCTGATTGATCGGTCGAATCTGGGAGCTTTTCCGACGCAGTAAAATTTTATAATATATATTATTATATAATAATATATTTCCTCCATGGTGCAACCATGATTGTACAGAAAATGCTGTGGCGACAGTGTAGCGTTTTTTTTTGGAAACCATGCTTAAATCATTAAAATCATATTCGTTGTTTACTACCCATTATGTGTATTTTTTACGACATTTTTAGGTCTATGTTGGATAATCATTAATTAAATATAGTTCACCATCTACAGCATGTTTACATCCTACTGCAGGGCAAAGGCCTCTCCCAAACTATGTCATCTGTTTCAGTATGTCCCAGCAATCTTATCCTTGCTCTTGATCCTTTTAATTGTACCAGCTCATCTCGTCATAGCTTGTGGGTTTCCATTTTTTGCCATATCGTGGTTGCAATTCAGTTGTTAATCAGCTGCATCAATCGTCCTTTCACCTTGCAAGATGTCCGGTCCATCTTCATTTGGTTTTTTCTTTGCAGTGATTATTATGTCCTTCACCCTTGCTTATTCTCTAATCCATCTGTTCCTTTTCCTGTCTCTTCTTGTGTAACCTGCCATCATTCTCTCCATACCTCTTTGTGGTGTTTGGAGTTTTCGTTCCAGTAAATATAGTTACATTTACTCTTTAATATTAAAATAAGTTCATCCCCATGTTATTTGAAAGGACTGATATTGTAATAGGCAAACTGGAAATCTCGAAATTGGATTGGATTACTTTGTGCGAAATACACCAAGAAAAAAACCCAAGTACAGACTTATTTTCAGTGGGGTCCTTGGGTGGTGGATTGGGCAGTACAGCGGGAGGCAATCTCCTATCTTTTTCCGAAAGTGAATTGTATTCATTAACGTGCACTTGGATTGCAGACGAGAACAACTAATTGCTTCATCCAAAAGAAGGTGCACTATTCAAACTTAAATTCAGAGCTCCTGCAGCGGAAACACAAGAGGACAGTGGATGGAATGGACATTTCCACTAAGCCGCGCACCGTGGATATTGTTTACATGTATACATCAGAATAGGTCTATGTCGATACATGAATAAGGATTTAAACCCAGGACCAGGCAGTTTATAAAAACCAAGTACCTTAATTATCAAACCGGAGGTGAAACCAGCAGGGTGAGGGGGAATAATGATAATAATATCTCGAATTTATATGGCGCCAATTCCAAACAAGATCAAAGGCGCAACGCATGTGAAAAGCCACCGGAAAACAAATAGGTCTTAAGCTGTGACTTAAAATTGCAAATAGAGTTGGAAGAAGTTATGTAATTTGGAAGTTGGTTCCAGAAATAGGCAGACGCAAAAGTAAAAGAACCTTGACCGTAGGTTTTGGTACGGCATTTGGAGACAGAAAAAAGAATTTGGGAGGAAGATCGGAGAAGGCGAGATGGAGTATATCGGGAAATCATTGAACGTAAATATGAAGGTTCATTCAGAATTCCATTTTGCGTTTGCCTGTATCGTCGGAGATCAGTAGGGCTTAAATATTTTTTGACACACACCATTATTCTATTTTTCGCTGCTTCACTGCAAACAGTATGATATTTTTTTACTTTATACAACAAGAACAGCTTTGTATCCTTTGAATTCATTCAAGTCTATAATTTTCTTCATCCAGTTAGTTCGTACCACATTTTTTTTGTATTAAAGGTAAGGTCGAGGATTGCACTACTGGTGCAATCCTGCCTAGCTGGTCCGAACAAAAGAACCGGATACACTTTGTCCGGCCGTCTCGACGAACGGGAAAAATCTAATTTTGCCGGTAAAAGCTGATATCCGACATCTTTATGCTGTTAGTTCAAATGTATCTAACGAGTCAGGGAATATAATTCCGGTAGGTGCACGCGTCTGGAGTAATATTTTGCTTACTCAAAATAATAGAGTAGATTACTTTTATATGGCTTTTATAGTGATGATGCAGCATTATCAATGCTCGATTATTTATTTTCCGCAGCAAACTTAATTTGAATACAATTAATATTATATGATATATAATTGACTCTTCTTTTTGTATGAATTATCAATTTACCAGTAGCTATTATTATTCTTACAGTTTGATTTGGTGTGTGACGATAGTTATAAATCATCTTTGGCTGCTTCATTATATCTTGCCGGCTTTTTCTTTGGTTCAATCATCTTTGGATTTATGTGCGACTAGTAAGTTGTTACGTTACAAAACGTCATGGTGAATTATTTCAAGTAATATTAATAATGCCAAAGACTAGCGCTAATTCCAAATGAATGATCAAAGGCACTGACCATACCCGATAATTTACAACGTTTACAACGGCAAAGTATAACAAAATGCAACCTGCAACCTGTACGTAGTAGGCCTAGTGAAAATCTACTTACTATGTGATAAACAGCATAATGTTGTCTAGCTGGCGTTCTCGCCTACTCTTTATTACATTGTTAATCAATTTTTATCAACATTTGTTTCATTCAGTTATGGGAGAAAAAGGACAATATTCGTAGCGCTCGCAGTAACACTGCTAGCGGGACTGATGAGCGGATTAGCATCGTCATATTGGTTATTCGCTATTTCCCGCTTCTTAATCGGAATTGCGAACATTGGCTTATTTTGTTCAATTTTTACATATGGTATGTGAATTATCAAGGATTTGACTTTTCACTATTTGAATTCACTCACTCGCCACAGAGGTTGATATCTGACAAATAATACTATAATATGCGTATTAATTCTGTCACGTTATGTCATGTTGATAGATTTAAGTGTCCAGAACAGTGGCGTCGAGAGCCAGTAATGGCCCCGGGGAAACACTTCACAACGTGTAGGAGCGGTTGGTGCACCGGTTGTGGCTTGGACTCCCAACCTTGAGGTCGGGGGTTCGAAACTCTGGCTGTGCAAATCGCTTGTGTCCTTGGGCAAGGCACTTTATCTACGGTTGCCTCTCTCCACCCAGGAGTACAAGTGGGTACCTGGTAGGTTCCAACACGACCTGCGCTGATTACTAGCTGCAATGTATGGAATGATAATATCATTTCATTTACTAATTTAATTTGGTGTTCCATTTGTGTCCAATGACCGGGGTAGTAATGTGAAGCGCTTAGAGGCCTTGTAAATGCATGAAGCGCTATATAAGAACGACATATTATTATTATGCCCCCCTCTTCACTTGGGACCCTCTTCACTTGGGACCCCCACTCGGCCGCTCCCCAAATTAAGTCTCCTCCTAAGACCCTATTTGTCCAAAACCCACAAACATGAATACGATTCCATGTGATTATTTTTTTGCAATGTAGATGTATCAGAATAATCTGATGAATAAACGATAATAATTATATATATAATACACGTATATACATACCACTTTGCATCTGGTTTGTAACGGGAGAGCATTGTGTGGACTATTCCCCTGGGGGGGATTATTAATCTAATAAAAATACAGAAAGACGCCCATAAACCATAATGTAGAGTTTGTTCTGACAACAAAAGTTTTCATCCTGGTTTGGCTCGGGCCCTATGGAGATTTTGTTCTTACCCCGAACATTTTTCATCTTGGTCCGGACCCCCGAGTAGACCCGGACCCCGGGGCAGCGACCCCCCCCCCCGACACCCCCTCTCGACGCCACTGGTCCAGAAGTTTGTCTAAAATATGTATTTATTTGAAATAAATTATTTATGTATTTATTTGAAAAATAGTAATTGTAAATAATTTGTGTATTGAATTTATTTTAGTAACGGAGTTGGTTGGGCCTTCAAGGCGAGCTATGATAGCTACAATTGCGAACTTGTACTGGTGCCTGGGTTACATGCTGACAGCTGTCATCGGATATTTCATAAGATCTTACAGAACACTACTCGTTGCAAGCAGTATCGCAATGTCGCCTCTATTATTGCTCTATTTGTAAGAACCAGATTATTTATTTATTGTATAAAATTAACGAATATTATGTACCATAATACATACATATAGGCCTATACAAACATACATACACACACACACATGTAATACAATCGGTACCGGTGATAGTCTTCAATTTCTATAGCGCATAACTACAGTGGAATGTCTTTATGCGCTCTTTGTTTAGTGTCACGCACACAAAGAAGATGAAGAGAAAATTGTGAAAAGAGATTTAAAAAATAGTTAAAGCAGTCAAAAAAAAACTGAGTCATGCGAATCAATATTAATTTGCTATAAATCTTTATATTTTCGAAAAGTTTAATTCCGGAGTCTGCTCGTTGGTTGCTTGTTAAGAAAAAAACAGATGAAGCAAAGCTTATTCTTCAACGGATTGCAAAGGGAAACAATGACGGCAATTTGCCAGATGAGATATTTGAAAATTTAGAAGTCGACACAGTAAGTTTACTCTCATCTTTGATATTTCTTTGGCGAGTTTCGCTAATACTTATACTTATTGACAACAGCCAATTAGAATTTATTTCAAGTAGACAAATAAGCACGTAAATGACCACCCCACACGAATAATAGTAATTGTTTCATTGTTATTGTTATAAACCCACTCTATATCAATCATATTTAATCTAGGTTATTATTATAAACCTACGCTATATATTAATGTATTCAATCTCAGTGTCATTAAAAAATACAATGATTTAGTGCAGTAGTTATTCTCATTCTTCATTTAGAAACGACACTTTTCAACAGTAGTAACGGTGCGTCTAAAGAAAAACTTATCAAATCAAACTTTTATAATTAAAAAAAAAAAAGTAAACAAAACAAAACCCCCAACATAGCCCATGTTTTAAACTTCCCTGCCTATTTCAATTATTATATATTTTTTTTTCAAAAGTTTAGAATATTTAAGGCTTATTAACATATTGATGGGGGTAAGAGATGAGGTTGGCTTGCTGGAACAAATGAAAATGTGAAAAACTGCTAAATTTTACCACTGCAAACGCATAGAAGACAGCATAGCACTTTCTACTATTGAAGGTGAGGTGATGAGAAAGTGTAAGAGAGTAAGGCATGGATAGATGATATCAGAAAGTGGCACGGAACCGTGAATATGGCAAGACCAAAAGCTAGAAGACGTATACGGCTCCACTAAAGGGATATGGATATCATCATCATCGTCATTAAATATTCATGTCTATATTGAATATAATTAGATGAATTTATTTTATACATTATCTGTGTGTATGTGTTAATTATTGTTAGTGCGTTTTATAGTTCAGCTGTACGGTTGTGTATTAACTGGTCTTGTGTATTTTTTTTTTAGGAATCTAAAGCTACGAGGAAGACTAATCCGCTTGATATTATTCGGTATCGCTCTATGAGGTTTAAAACAATCAACATTACCTACAGCTGGTATGTCGCCTTATTTATTAATAAAGATTCAGACAGTACAGTATAATATCGTGGTACAGTTAATATCTATGGTAACGGCATGATTACTTAACACTACTCTACTAGGCCTATTTGTAAATAATGACGTCATTACTATTGTTACTGCGTCAGAACTCAAAAAGTGCCTCCTTGATATCATTAGTCCCTAAATTGCTACTTTTTTTTTTAATTGTTCAAATGATTAATGAACGTTCTTAACAATTTAAATTAAGCAAAAATATGTTGAGTATAAATTAAATACTAGTAATAACGCATTAGTAAGTCTTATATATTATATATATATGTATATATATATATATTATATTAGACAAATAAAACATGAAACACTGGGTTAAAGACTCAACATTTTATTGCACTACAGGCTGTTTCATGAGGGGTACCTCAATCATCAGGTGCTAGGCTCATGAAACAGCCTGTAGTGCAATAAAATGTTGAGTCTTTAACCCAGTGTTTCATGTTTTATTTGTCTATCTGCTCTGCTATATACTGCATTGAGCACTCTTGTCTACATGATCTGGTTTAAGCCAACCACGCAGATTATATATTATATTATAAATAAACAAGCCTTTCTTAGTAATTATGTTCCCTCATGTTACGTTTATAATAATTATAACCTTGTTTACAGGTTTGCTATTAACCTTGTTTACTACGGTTTAACGTACGGTGTCGAGGGTCTAAATGTCGATGTCTATCTCGGAACCTTTCTCGGAGGTCTTACTGAGATGTTCGCCTACCTCTTTACCTGGTTTTTTATTCAAAAAGTTGGTAGGCGTTTGACTCTGGGAGGAACGCTTGTAGCAGGTGGAAGCGGGTGCTTGGTAAATTTATGGATTCGTAAGTCTGCGTTTAGATTTGCTGATAGATGTTTCAGAAGTAATCCTTGTAATGTACATCCATTCCATCACACTTACTGTAGGTAATGTAACTTTACCCTAGTAAACAATTGGCAGCACATTTAATACACAAATCCTTGTACAGTACATCCATTCCATCACACTTAGTAAATCAATTGGTCCCTGGTAAACAATTGGCAGCACATTTAATAAAAATCCTTGTACACATCAATTACATTAAACTTAATGTAACTCAAGCGCCTGGTAAACATTGGAAGAACATTTAATATATACAAATGCTTGTACAATACATCACATCAATTCTATCAAACTTAATTTAAGTCAATTATTCCCTTGGAAAACAATTGGTAGCACATTAATACAAATCCTTGCACAGTACACCAATTCCATCACACTTAAGTAACTCAATTGGTCCCTGGTAAACAATTGGCAGAACATTTGATACAAATCCATCCTTGAACAGTAAATCAATTCTATCAAAACTTAAGTAATATATCTCAATTGGTCCCTAAGCAATTGGTAGTACGTTAATACAAATGTTCATAACCTGTACTTCAGAGAGGGAGCAGGGACAGCTCACAAACGTACTTCTTTGCAATATGAATAACTGCTCATACTTTTGTATCCATTTACAATACAATTTATTGCGGGAGTAGCATACAACTTGACATATTCTTTTTATGCTCGGATAATTTTTTCATTTTTTAAATTTTATGAAACTGTCCTAACGATATCGTAATAACCTGTAAATCGTCCAGCTTCAAGTTTTGTAGAATTGAGGACGACTACAGCAATGATTGGCAAGTTCTTCATTACATCAGCCTTTGCCATCGTCTACGTATATACTGTTGAACTCTTTCCAACTGACATTAGGTGAGTCTGCTTTAGAAAAAAGCCAATGCCATTTTATGACTGAACACAAAATTCAGATACAACTGAATTACCTTGCCAAAAACACAATGAAACCAGTCTCAGATGGGACTAAAATATACTATGATTTTGTTTGGTGGTAAGAAAGTTATTACTATTGCATCACATGAATATATTTCCATATATCAATTTATAAACACAGTTGAAAAAGAAGAAGTATTGCTTTTAAGAATGCTAATAGCCATGATATACATACAATTCTGGAGCCACTTATATATGATCGAAATCAAACAACATAGCTAAAAGGAGTATTCCAAATAATGGGGTTTCCCAATATGGACCACTGTATAACTAACTATTATTTAGAGAAACGTTTCTACAAAATAGAAATGATGGTCAAATCTCCTAAATGAAATACACGGTAGTTTATCAATACCAACTTCAGTGAATTCGAAAATTTATCACCCACGCAAACAGCACGCTCACAAATTTGATGGAATATACTTCACATTACACATCAACCATTGAATTTATATTTGTCTATTAGGACCATCGGTTTAGGATTCTGTTCGTTCTGGTCACGTGTTGCTGGAGTACTTGCTCCTCAGATTCTTTTTCTGCAGAAATTATGGACACCATTACCATTGGTGGCATTTAGTTTAACTTCAGTATCTGCTGGACTGTTGGCGCTACTTTTGCCCGAAACTTTAAATGTTCCACTACCTCAGACTATAGAAGAGGCGGAGATGATTACGAGGTATATATACAATTATAATATTTTCTTAAGCAGACAACATAAACAAACGTTACATTTAACTTGCCTAATAACTACAGTGGGCTGTTTATATGAGCTTTTGTATTCCCTTGATTCCTTTTATGGCTAAGTAATGAATGGATTAATGAACGGCATTGTGTGCTAGCAATATCAACAAAGGGCGCCTTATAGCATTACACAATCTACCAAATTTCGGAAAGCCCACTAAAAACAAACATTTTCAAGATAGAAAATAGATTAGTGTTCAAAAAATAATCATTTTTTATTTCTTGTACAGGAGAACTACTAAGCGAAGCAGTGGAAGTTTTCACGATATTGGATTGCAACCTGTCAAGTCTTAATTTTTCTTTGCAAAGATTGTTACAATATATTGCCATTGGTTGAAATTATTAAACAACAATTAACAATATTTAATAATCAAGAGTTCTACAATATTATTTTAATCAGTAATGTTTATATTTGTGACAATTATTTGCCTTTTTTAAAAAATAAAATGCGCCTTTGTTGCTTGATTTTACTTGCTATTTAGTTACTTGTAAAAGTATTTAATTAGAGGTAACAGAGGCAGTACTCTGAGACTACGTATCAGGCCATAGTAAGATAAAAACCACATTTATTTGCCAATAAAATATTTATGTATATTAATGAGTCCTATTCTAGTTTTCTATGACGTTTTCCTTCTGTTTTGGATTTATATGAGAGCTGAGTAGTATTTTATTTTTGGCCAAATTATCAAAGCACTTCATATTATCTACAACCAGAAAATAACGCCTACAGTTGGAGAATGTACTTGCTTTAAGTATAGACATTTTACGAATATGTGATGATTTAATAGTTAATGAATGGAGAATAGAAGTTTAAAGTAAATCTTCCCTCCCAGATTATAAAATTATACAACCACACCCTGATTAGAACACTGTTTAATTGGGAGTTGATCTAAAGCTTAAACTAAACTTACCATTAAAATGCCAGAACTTATCACACTAATAGTAATAACACTAAAATTAAATACATTTTGGGCTGTTCGAGTTTATTTCTTATTTATTTGATAGATTTTGTAAAGGGAGCATAAAAATGGTCTGGAAAGGGCAAGTTTTGTACATGATTTGCTCTTTAATTTTTATTATTTTCTGCGGTGGTGTAATTACAAATTTCTATCTTCAATACTGCAAGTTTGTTGTAGTGTGGGTGGGTAAGGGACTTACCTGTATGAAATATTTTGGGTAGGTGGGTTTGGAGAGGGGAGAAAATTATGTTTTGTGAACGTTTATTTTAGTTTTTCAATAATTTAAAGAAAGAAATGTTTATGTTTAGGGTTAGGGTTAAAATTGATATCTGAATGTTTTTTAGTTAATTTGAAGTTGATTATAGTTTGTCACATGGAATTATTAAATGTTTTATGAGAGAGTGTCTATACTATATATACTTATCTAGGAATTCAGTTCCATCTCTTTTGCTAACAACGCCTTCAGTAATACCATGGAGGAATTAGTTCAGACTAAACTAATTCCTCCATGGTTAATACATAACATATTCCCAAGTGATGCGCTAGTGAACACAGAGCATGTAATGGGCTGACTACAGGCAAATAAAAGCACGTGACCGAGGGATTAGTTGTCGATAGTTAACAATAAAAGTTTAAAGGTAAGCAGCTATTGTTAATGTTCAGCAAATAAAAAAAAAAACTTCAGTAAGTTGGGACTTGAACCTATTATAAAGTCCATGGTTGGAACAGGTTTAAAACGTATTCTGAAGAGCGATTCAAGATATTGTGATTTTTCTATACTCTTTATATTTTGTATAGAATTTAACAATAAGATTAGCTGAATAGATGGGTCAATGAATGGTTATCAGAATTGTATTGCCGAGACCTCACTAAACAATGTAGAGATTAAAGTTAACTTTTAACGGATTGTGCACTCTTTATTCTTTACCATTTACACGGGTCAGCAAATCTACAGAAATGTTTTTGTTAACTACTGCATGCCTGCGTTTTATTTTTGCCTTACGCGTTATCGATGCCTGATGACCTGTTAATTCTGAGGAGTTATTGTAACTCCACCTGTGGGGTAGTTATAACCCCCAAAGGGGGAGTTATTTTTTGGGAGTTATTTTAACTCCTTAAATGGTATTAAAGTAACTCCTTAGGGGAGTAAACCTTAAGTTGACTCTCATTTCACTCCAAACTTATACAAGGTAATAATGTTGGAGTAATTTTTACTCCAGTATTTGGGTTGTTGGAGTTAAATTAACTTCATGTTTAGAGTAAAACAAGCAGAGTTAAAATAACCCATCCACAGAGAGTCAAATTGATCCTATCGCATGAATTATAGCAGAGTTAAATTAACCCATCCACAGAGAGCAAAGTTGATCCTATCGCAATGCATAACGGCAGAGTTAAAATAACCCATCTATCAGAGAG